GGGTTATGTATAAGGAAGAAGCTCTTCCCTGTGAGGGTGCTGAGGTGCTGGCACAGGGTGCCCAGAGAAGCTGTGGCTGCCCCATCCCTGGCAGTGTTCAAGGCCAGGTTGGACACAGGGGCTTGGAGCAACCTGCTCTAGTGGAAGGTGTCCCTGCCCATGGCAGGGGGTTGGAACTGGATCATTGTAAGGTCTTTTCAAACCCAAACCAGTCTGTGATTCTATGAAATGCAAACCCTCCAAGTTCTCCGCTGATGCTGACCATTGACAGTACTTGGAGATGGGCATTTAGCTCTCTGCTCTCTGCCAGCCATGAGGATGCTGCCAGCTCTGGCAGTGCCACAGGGGTGTGTGGACACCAGAAGCAGGAAAACCACCTCCTCTGCCAGATTTGGAAGAGAAGCGAATGTCTGGATACCCAAAGCATCCACACCAGCTGGAGGTCAAGACATTTTGATGCATATAATAACCTTGTATTTCTCTTGCTGGACACTCCTGGAGAGCTCCAGGCCCTACATTTGTTGCAGAGGGAAGCTGCCAGTGCATGGAATCATAAAAGGGTTTGGGTTGGAAGGGACCTTCGAAGGTCGTCTAGTCCAACTCCCCTGCCATGAGCAGGGCATAGCAGAGAGCATCCCTGCTGCCACCCTCTGCACTGCCCTGGGCCAGCGTGTCTCCTCCCATGCACAGCTCTGCATCACTTCCCCCCCAGGGAACTCAGCAGGGAAAAGACAGGAAACAGATGTTGTGTTAACTTGTGCTCGATTAATTTTGATGACTTCCACACTCGTTGATGTGGGAGCAGGGAGCTGGCTGGCTCCCAGCAGCCCTGGTGCAGTGTATGTAAGGAGTGGTGCTGTCCTGCTGCCAAACACACTTCAGAGCACCCCTGTACCCCTCAGCCAAGTGGCAGGAGTGTATCCTGTGTGTCACAGCACTTTCTGTGGGCTCATCTCCATGGTTGGGGAAGCTGAGCTTCTTGCTGGAAGCCCTGTGTTCACTGCATGCTTCCCCTTCTCCCCATGGTATGCGCCCAAAACTCATTCTCCAGCTGGAAATCAGCCTCTTTAGTTTGTGCATGGAGACTGCATGAGCCAGAGGAGATCCACGTGCCTTCCTGCTGCTGCTGTGAATGACAGGTTGAACACCGAGAGACATGCAGACATGGTCTGGAGGGTTTGAATCTCCCAGACACACACTGCCATCAGTTTCTGCTATCTTGTGCAAGCAGGGGTGCACTGTGCACTTAGCTCTTCATCAGGGTGGACGGTGAAAGTTCCTGCCCAAATTAGTGCTGGGTACGGTCTGCTCATCCTCATTTTCTTTTGGCCTGTGACAGTAGTGACCTCTTGTTCAGCGGCAGCTGTAGGAGCAGAGGGAGTTCATCCCAGAGCGGGTGACGGCGCAGACTCCTGCATGACCTGTGCTCACCCGGTGTTCGAGGGCACCTGGATTGACCTGTTCTCTCTCTGTCCCACAGTGGGATTCGATCAATGAAATGGACGAGTTTTTTAGCCCCATCCACACCTACCAGGTCTGTAATGTCATGACCCCCAACCAGAACAACTGGCTACGGACCAACTGGGTTCAACGGGACGGCGCGCGGCGGGTCTATGCAGAGATTAAATTCACGCTGCGGGACTGTAACAGCATGCCGGGCGTGCTGGGCACCTGCAAGGAGACCTTCAACCTCTACTACCTGGAGTCCGACCGGGACCTGGGCACCAGCACCCGCGAGAGCCAGTTTATGAAGATCGACACCATCGCAGCGGATGAGAGCTTCACCAATGTGGACCTGGGGGTGAGGCGCCTGAAGCTGAACACGGAGGTGCGGGGCGTGGGGCCACTGAGCAAGAGGGGTTTCTACTTGGCCTTCCAGGACATAGGCGCTTGCATCGCCATCGTTTCAGTGCGAGTGTACTACAAGAAGTGTCCAGCAACAGTGAGGAACTTGGCATCCTTCTCTGAGGCTGTGACTGGGGCAGACTCATCCTCCTTGGTGGAAGTGCGGGGAGAGTGTGTGGGCCATTCGGAGGAGAGGGATACCCCCAAAATGTACTGCAGTGCCGAGGGAGAATGGTTGGTGCCCATCGGGAAGTGCGTTTGCAGTGCTGGCTACGAGGAGCAGCGGGATTCCTGCATGGGTGAGTCTCTGCTTCTTGCTAGCACGGGGAGGGATGGCTGCAAGGGGCTCTCGCCTCCTTGAGGAAGGGCTGAGGACAGAAGCCCACTCACAAGAACCTGGACAGCCAACCTCTGTGGAGGCAACGGGCTGCCCAAGCCTTTGCTGACCAGCTTCATGCTTCCAAAATGTGTTGCTGGTACCACCAGCAAGCTCCTTGGGAGCTCCTGTGAGCCTGACCATAACACATCCTGGTGCGCAGGGCACGGCTTTGGGATGGGGACTGGCTTTGCAGTGGGAGCTGGCATCAGGACAGGGGCTGCCCTGGCTCCATCTTTTCCTACCATGGAGCACGTGGCCCAGAGACCCCATCCCAGTGCTCTCAGCAGCTCCGGCTGTGCTGGGATCTCTGCTGGTGCACTCCAGCAAAGCACCACTTGACTTCTCCAAAATACCCCACCACTCGCTTCCCTTTGGCAGGGGGTTTGAATGAGGGGAAAGCAAACAGAGAAACATGAAGCTCTCATGAAACAAGGTTATTGCGTCCATCCATCACAGCTCCCCAGGGCTGCTCAGAGCTCTGCAGCCTGGGGGTGCCGGGAGCCTTCCTGGGGGCCCTCTGTGCTGCTGGGCAGGCTTCAAGCTCGCAACTGTACAAACTGTGATAAGGAAGCGGGGTGACCAGCAGCAGCCATGCACCAGGCACAGGGATGTGTGTGTACAGAGCACGGGCTCCCCGTGAGAGCCCTCTGCACGGATCTGTTTGCTCTTGGTTTCTTTATGGGATGTGTTTAGGGGAGCAGCACAAATAAGAGTGCAGGGACTTTGTTTGCTTTTCATGGAAACGTCTAGTGAAGCATTTGTCTTAGGGAGACTTGGTGCAAGGTCAGGACGTCCGACGCTGGATTGGAATGGATCCAGGGGCTGCTGGGACCCACACCAGCCCCAGCAGGTCCCCAGCTATGAGAGAGGAAAGCAAAGGCAGAATAAATGCTTCTATCCGAATGTTCTCCTGCCTGCAACCACTGATTTGAAAGTCATCCTGGGGTAGATCTGATAATTCATGAAGGATCTTGTCCCATGTTGAAGAGAAGGTGCAAAATGTGCAACGGAGGGCACTGGTGTGGGACCCAGCCTGACTGCAAGGAGCTGCGAGTTCATAGTCATAGAATGGTTAGAGTTGGAAGGGACCTTAAAGGTCATCTTTAAGGGCAAGGACACCTTCCACTAGACCAGGTGGTTCCAAGCCCCGTCCAACGTGGCCTTGAACACTGCCACGGATGGGGCAGGCACAGCCT